ATCTGTATGTGTTCATGTACGTATATGTATATGAATACACGTATGACACATGTATGTAAAATCATATGTATCTATGAATATGTCCAGATGTACGTATGCACATATATTTATTGATGTTTGTACATATGTGCACATGAATGTATTATATATCTATGTCTATTAAAACATTTTTTAACGAGGATCATATGTGGACACAAAATCACACATGTCACAGTACAAAAAGGGATGAGTCCGCTATATAATAAATACAACTAAATAAATGAAATTAAACATCAAGTTCATTTGCCTGTTATAATGTATATGTACATATGCTTTTAACCTCACATGATGTTACATGAACATCAATTCTCATTTTCTTTACAAGCAAATCACTTTACGAGGTCTAACACGTATACCTTCACATGCAAAACGTTAAATCGAAAACAAAACCTGATAATCGCGTATAAATCTGACGCTGGATCCAGCAATCGGCAGTTTTATTTCGCGGGCGGAAATAATTCCATCGTCGGGACGATTTCGCATGCCAGCCGCGATCGTCCGCTTCTGTATCGTATTCGTATCGAAACGAGGGCTTGAAAGCGAGCGGATGTATTTGCATTACATTATCGAAGTTAACGCGAACGACGCGGAAGGGTCGCGAAATCGCTGCGAAACGGAAATTATACAAGGGGATCGAATTATTGGTCGACGTTGGAACGAAGAATGCCTCGAATAACGCAACCTCATTTCCGCAAGCTCGACACTATACTTGCTATTATAGTCGGAATGTAACGAACGATGTGTGAATCTTCCCTTCTGCGATTAAGTTAGCTGTGAATAATTTGTGTTATACTGCTTATTGGACGGAAATGGGATATCAGGAGGGTTGTGTTGAGGATTTCAGAACTTTACTTTGAAATTATATAATTTTCTAATCTTTAAACTTTCTGGTTTAAAGTCGGGACTGTAGTATTATAATATTAAGGAGCTTCAGTTTGATGGAGTATCATACTGTTTTGTACACCTTCATACAGCTTCATGCAGCTTCATACACTTTTATATAGTTTCAAACAGTTTCATACTGCTTCATACATCTCTATACAGTTTGATATAGCTTCATACAGTTCGATGGAGTATTATACTGTTTTGTACACCTTCATACAGCTTCATATAACTTCAGACAGCTTCATACAGCTTCATATAGTGTCATACACTTTCATACAGCTTCATATAGTGTCATACACTTTCACACAGCGTCATACAGCTTCATATAGCATCATACACTTTCATACAGCTTCATATGGTGTCATACACTTTCACACAGCGTCATACAGCTTCATATAGTGTCGTACACTTTCATACAGCTTCATGCAGCTTCATATAGTGTCATAAACTTTCATATAGCTTCATACAGCTACATATAGTGTCATACACTTTCATACAGCTTCATGCAGCTTCATATAGTTTCATACAGCTTCATATAGTGTCATACACTTTCATACAGCTTCATATAGTGTCATACACTTTCATACAGCTTCATACAGCTTCATATAGCGTCATACACTTTCATATAGCTTCATACAGCTACATATAACGTCATTCACTTTCATACAGCTTCATACAGCTACATATAGCGTTATACACTTTCATACAGCTTCATACAGCTTCACACAGTGTCACACTAAATACAGTTTCATATTAGGCATTGATATCACATATCACCTGTTTCATTCTCATCGAAAATACCACTAAAAGGAATATCTCCATTTAATTCTTCCGATAACGATATCCGACGATAGAATTTTTCTACGCGACGTATACGAAGTTGAATAAATATCAGAATGAATTAACAACGTCGCGATTTAAAATAAATTCCCTCGGCAGTATAACGCGTCGTGGCAGTTAATAATTCAGTCCCGCTTCGAAATGCCATGCATTCGCGACGAGCCCAGAAGGGACAGGAAAGTTTTATTTAATTCGTCCGCGAGCCGTTAATTGGAAAAATACGCGAGGCATTAAATACGCCCCTGACGATATTAAAAACATTCATGGAGTGTTTCAAATTTTCATGGTCTCTTTTTTTTTATTTTAGTAGTATTAACGTATATTCAGACGTCTGATTCTTTAGGGGCGGAGGAAAATATCCGTGGTATTCGGATTGGGAGATGAAGGGTTCAATCGGCGTTTGTTACGTTAATTCGGTCTTGATCGACTTTTGGTGTATTGATGAGGTTTTAATTGACTTTTAATATATTAATGGGGTTTTAATGGAATTTAAAACGTTTATGTATGTTATTACGTATGTAAGTAGTGTCATACACTTTCATACAGCTTCATACAGCTTCACACAGTGTCACACTAAATACAGTTTCATATTAGGCATTGATATCACATATCACCTGTTTCATTCTCATCGAAAATACCACTAAAAGGAATATCTCCATTTAATTCTTCCGATAACGATATCCGACGATAGAATTTTTCTACGCGACGTATACGAAGTTGAATAAATATCAGAATGAATTAACAACGTCGCGATTTAAAATAAATTCCCTCGGCAGTATAACGCGTCGTGGCAGTTAATAATTCAGTCCCGCTTCGAAATGCCATGCATTCGCGACGAGCCCAGAAGGGACAGGAAAGTTTTATTTAATTCGTCCGCGAGCCGTTAATTGGAAAAATACGCGAGGCATTAAATACGCCCCTGACGATATTAAAAACATTCATGGAGTGTTTCAAATTTTCATGGTCTCTTTTTTTTTATTTTAGTAGTATTAACGTATATTCAGACGTCTGATTCTTTAGGGGCGGAGGAAAATATCCGTGGTATTCGGATTGGGAGATGAAGGGTTCAATCGGCGTTTGTTACGTTAATTCGGTCTTGATCGACTTTTGGTGTATTGATGAGGTTTTAATTGACTTTTAATATATTAATGGGGTTTTAATGGAATTTAAAACGTTTATGTATGTTATTACGTATGTAATGTGCATGTTATAACGTATGTATGTTCTAACGTATATGTATGTTATTACATATGCTATGTGTATGTTACAACGTATGTATGTTATTACATATGCTATGTGTATGTTACAACGTATGTATGTTATTACATATGCTATGTGTATGTTACAACGTATGTATGTTATTACATATGTTATGTGTATGTTATAACGTATATATGTTATTACATATGCTATGTGTATGTTACAACGTATGTATATTATTACATATGCTGTGTGTATGTTACAACGTATGTATGTTATTACATATGCTATGTGTATGTTACAACGTATGTATGTTATTACATATGCTATGTGTATGTTACAACGTATGCATGTTATTACATATGCTATGTGTATGTTACAACGTATGTATGTTATTACATATGCTGTGTGTATGTTACAACATATGTATATTATTACATATGCTGTGTGCATGTTACAACGTATGTATGTTATTACATATGCTATGTGTATGTTACAACGTATGTATGTTATTACATATGCTATGTGTATGTTACAACATATGTATGTCATTACATATGTTATGTGTATGTTACAACGTACACATTCCAAAGTATATTTCGCAATATTCATGCTAACCTCCTCTTTACACAATACCCCACAAATTATACGTACATTATAAAATAGATTGCTTCATCAGGCGAAAGCAGCTCGCGTCTAAAAGTAGCCGGTCATAATAACAGTGATTATTCTGCAGCCAAGTGATATTCCTCGATCTGGGCAATAAGTCGCGCAGGAAGATATTGAGCCGGCAAGAATTACCGTTTCAGATTGTATTTATATTCAGACGGCGTCTGGCTGATAAAGCATCGGCTGGAATATTCAATCAACCGTGGGGTATAAGGGGGAAGAATCGTCTCCCTGGGAAGACGATCAAGAAGGAGGTGACGGTAAAAGGATCTCGAACAACCGTTGGATGGTGAGCCTGTTGATCGACGCTGCTTGTGCATTCCTTGCGGGGGCTGAGAAATAACGTCGCCAAAGCGAGGGTAAACGATTCGTCGCTTCCCTTGTATTTACGTTGGCAGAGGCGTGGATACGTAATTAGATGTGAAACTTACCCCCTTGCTTGATTCGATCTTTGTCTTCATTTCCGGGGCTATTGACATGGACTTGCGAATTTGATACTTTAACGCGTTTATAAACGCATCGAAACATCATTCTCTATCTTTCAAAATATATTTTTAAAAGACATTTTTAAAAGACATCTTTGAAAGACATTTTTGAAAGACATTTTTGAAAGACATTTTTGAAAGACATTTTTAAAAGACATTTTTGAAAGGCATTTTTAAAATCTTTTCAAATTTTGTTTGTAGCATATCAATAAATATTATCGATATTGGTATAATTCTCATATTAGACGTTTAGAGAAGAGTGACATATGTGACATATGTGACATGTGTGATATCATGTTGTACATTTTTGACTTTATTCATGATCTTTTATAAACAAAGTTTTTACAAAACACAATAACTATTATGGACATAGGTATATTTCTGATATTGGACATTTAGAGAAGAGTGACATATGTGACATATGTGACATGTGTGATATCATGTTGTACATTTTTAACTTTATTCATGATCTTTTATAAACAAAGTTTCTACAAAACACAATAAGTATTATGGACATAGGTATAATTCTGATATTAAACATTTAGAGAAGAGTGAAATATGTGACATGTGTGACATATGTAATATCGTCATGTTATACATTATTTAATTTCACTCATGATTTTTTATGAAACCTTTTATAAACCCAGTTGTACTTTCGTGATAATTGTGTTGCAATGTTACATGTTCAGTAGATAAGAGCATGTGCTAGAACATATGTGCTACACACATGTGTAAAAGAGCAATATGAAGAGTAATATGTAAAATCAAAAAGTAATATGAAAATGTATAATCAAAGCGAATAACAACTGACTAAAACATAGAGTGAAGAGCAATGATGCAATGAAGAGCAATGAAATATTGAATAACAAATAAATGACTAACCTGAACATCTTTGGTGAACTGGTTGTTGCAGTAGATGTGTATGGCCGAGAACTCTCTAACCTTGTCGAATTCGAACTTGATCTCGACCGGCTGTCCACGTGTATCGTTTCTCCAACCAACCCAGCCCTGGTTCCGATCGTTATCATAATATCCCATTTTAAAGTTATCGGGTCCAGTTCTGCCGTCTGTCAGCTGACCCAGACCACGGCGGAGCTCACCGTCCCAGTGTCCATCGTAGGTGGCATCGAAGAATTCCCATCCATTACCCCTTTTATCACCTTGGGGCATCGAGTAGGATACCACGCCATCTGTGGTTAGGTCAAAGTGGAAAGTCATTGTTAGATATCTGTTGTAAATACTTTCTAGTCGACGAACAGTTTAGTGGATGCTTGTGATACGGTCGGTGGACTCTGTTATGACTGCGTGGGAACTACACGCTTATGATATGGGGAAATCACATGTAATAGTTGGCGTAATAGTATTTAATAGGTAGATGGATCATTATGGTAATTTTGATGGTAATTTCCAAATATCGTCTTTGCAAATTTTATGTAATTTTCAAGTTTCTAAATTCTCGGATTTCTATGTCAAAATTTTCAAATTCTCAAATAACCAAATTTTCAAGTTATTAATTCTGCATTTTCTTAATTTTCAAGATACAAATTTCCAAATTTCCAGACTTCCAATTTTCAAATTTTCAAATTTTCAAATTTTCAAATTTTCAAATTTCCCAATTTCCCAATTTCCAAATTTCCCAATTTCCCAATTTCCCAAATTCCCAAATTCCAAATTTCCAAATTTCCCAACTTCCCAATTTCCCAACTTCCCAATTTCCCAATTTCCCCATTTCCAAATTTCCCAATTTCCCAATTTCACAAATTCCAAATTCCCAAATTTCCCAATTTCCCAATTTCCAAATTTCCCAATTTCCCAATTTCCCAATTTCCCAAATTCCAAATTTCCAAATTTTCAAATTTCCAATTTCCCAATTTCCCCATTTCCCAATGATCAAATTTTCCAATTTCCCACTTTTCCAATTTTCCACCTTTCCAATTTCCCACCTTTCCAATTTCCCACTTTTCCAATTTCCCAATTTCTCACTTTCCCACTTTCCCCAATTTCCCAATTTCCCAATTTCCCAATTTCCCAATTTCCCAATTTCCCAATTTCCCAATTTCCCAATTTCCCAAATTCCCAATTTCCCAATTTCCCAATTTCCCAATTTCCAAATTTCCAAATTTCCAAATTTCCCAATTTCCCAATTTCCAAATTTCCCAATTTCCCAGTTTCCAAATTTCCCAATTTCCCAATTTCCAGATTCCCAAATCCCTAGATCTCCAAATCCCTAGATTTCCAAATCTCTATACCCCAAACTCTTTAGATCCCAAATTCCCTAGGTTCCATAATCTCTAGACCCCAAATTCCCTAAATCCCAAATTCCCAATCTCCCAAAATCTCTAAATCCCAAATTCCCTAGATCCCAAAATCCCTAAATCTCAACCCCCAATATACAAATTAAAATTTTTCAAATTTCCTCTTCCAAACATCCAAATTCCCTATTAGAAAAATTCCCAGTCCCAATTTCTAAATAATCCAATACCAAAATCTTGCAAATATCCACACGTTAAAATCTCTAAATTTCCAAATTTTTAAATGGTACTTGAGAAACTAAGATTCGGACCATTGCAGCGAAGAATTGAAGTTAAGAGAATGGATGGCAGCGTTTGCATAATTAATCGACTAACGAAGAGTGGTTTGTCGGACGTAAAACAGCTCAGCGTTGTGTAAACTGAATAATTATTATTGTAAACCCGAGTTTGAGCGCTCGCGCAATTTGCACAGTCTAATTCGCACAATTTGCAGTTCAGAATATATTGCATAGTCAGCGGTAACTATGCAGGTATACCATTTATTGTTCTACGAGTTACCAAAGTGGACTTGAATGGATAATACTACGTAACTTTAGCCAGTTGATGTACTTCCTATCTTTATGTAATTATAGAAAGTAAGAAATGAAAAAAAACATCAAATGACGAAAAAATGAATTTTGAAGTGTTTCGAATTTTTGTGGAAGTGTTGCTTCATGACTCTGAAATTATGATTCATTTTTAGGATTTAATATATATTGTTGGGATTCGTTTTGTGAACGCTGTTTGAAGAAATAGATTACAGTCTTTATGATTTTTTTTATTTAGTGAAGCAGAGTTTAGGATAGCAGAGTTCTTAGGAAAGATTGAATAATGCATAATCGTAATTAATTTTGATTGTTATAGCAAAATTTGTGGTGACAAAACGTAGTACTGTCAAAGATACATATCTCATTCTTAATAGTTGAATCTCACCCTCCAGTAAAATATGGCAAAGTTTTATTAATATCAAAGAATTAATTAACCCCTTCCCGTGCTTTGACGAGTCTCACTCGTGACGCGCTCACAACTCAAATGTGATTAATATTACTGAAATTTTGAATACTCTTCAACTTGAATTTTAGATCCAACTATAATTTGCGTCGTCAAGGATCCCTGAATATAAAATACTTAGAACATTTTAATTTTCTTTGTTCGTTTTAATGTTATAGTCCTGAATGGTTAGTTTTGACTGACGCACCTCATAAATAAATGGCACGGCAAGGGGTTAAGCAAAGAACATCCAGTAAAGATCTATTTTGTGAAGAGCGAATTTCAAAGAATGACACTATAATTTCACTCGAGTTCAGTAAAGTAGAGCTGTAGATAAGATCTGATAATTCCATAATCGCAATTAATTGCGCTATCAGAGGCGCGCAACAACCGGTGCTTTGGTGTGTCGAGTAATTTCCGTGTGGTTAAACGTTTAATTCGATGTTGATTCATCAAAGGATGAAAGAGATAATTGTACAAGCAAGATTCTGAAAAGCAAATTTGCGCACACGACAACGGTATAAGGGTTAATGGACAGTCCGGTGAGTATTCTAAGCGGCGGCAAGTTCAACGAAAATTGGAGAGTGCAAACAGCTTACCGCTCCAGTAACATCCGTAGAGCTCGACCCGCATGCAAACCGTCCGCGTGTGATGGCTGTAGGGCAGAAAACGGATCTTGCTCGCCCACAGAGGTGGCTCCAGCTCGTGCTTGGACTCCAAATACGTGTTCGTGTTACCCTGTATTACCTGGAACCGTGGAAACGTCGGGTTAAAGACCAGCAAAATTTCGCTCTTCGATCTAACATTCGTGTTCTGGCCCGTTTCACGTCCTACCGTACGATTTTCTTTGCCAACTAAGACTTCGAAATACCCGTTCAACTTCGATCGTTAGCCCCGTATTTGTCATTCCTACATTCTCAAACTTATCCAGAGTTCTCATCGGCGATAATTTAGACGAATCGCGCGTGATCACCGACATCTTTTAGTAATATACTGCTGCGAGAATGTATGCGCGTATTAGGTTTACGGGGAACTTTTGCTCAACTTTCGCTAGACTTAATAGAATGTTTCAATAACTCACGTTTACGGGGATATTTACTTAACGAGGAAATATTTCCGTTTATTTTGCGCGGGAATGGCGGAAGAATATTGGAGGTTATGTTTTTCGAGATTTACTTAACCTACAATTGTACTTGTGGTGCGTATTTGGGTTATCGTATTTTCACTGCAAATTCATTTTTGTCTTATAATTATTTATTGTAATTTGTATTATTAAGGATTTGAATGCATACTGTTCTTAACATTTTAACTTTCTTCATTTGTATTCACGCTGTAGAAATAATTAGGTACACAAAATGGCGCACGTGTGTAGAAAATTGTAGGTTATTGGACGATTCTTCAAATGAAACTGCATTTATTATTGCGACACAATGAGATAAAAAACAATGCATTTTTTAACGCTGTACTTTATAAGACTTTATGTGGCTCTTTATAAACAAATATTTTATATTTTATTTAACTCTGACTCAATGTCCTGTGTCCATAACCTTATCAATTACTAAAATTCTCTTTATGAGCAATTGTCTTATGTCTGTCTCAATTCATTTATACATTTATAACCTCACTATCATTATAATTTTCTATTGAATCTTTGTATTAACACTATTTAAATAAATATGAATTATATTGTTAATTTATGTTTGACAATTGTATATTGTTTATAGTACATTATTATGTGTGATGTATTGCGGAGGAATATTCGAAAGCTACTGTATTTTATACCGCACGATTCCAATTTTCCAACCGTTCAAAAGTGCACGATTTTCGTGATATTCCCAGTCGCGAAAGAAACGACAGAACTCTTTCGCATCGATCCTGGCTCGACAACGTTTCACCGTTATTTGACGGGTCGCATATGGAGAAAGACGAAAAAAAAAAAATAGTATAATCGTTCCATGTCAACGTGTCTGTGGCAAGGTCGACCCTTGAACACGGTACAGGATACACTGTCAATGCATCATCCTTCTGGAGGACATTTATATCGCTGTGAGATGGGATTTGGGGCTTCGGAAATTAAAGGATACGAAGATTCACAGAAATTATATTATAAAATATATTGTAAACTACAAATATAAGAATTCATAAATTTAGGAACAATAAATGTAAGAATTTATAAATTCATTAAACATAAATGTAAAACTTCATAAGTTCATAAACAATATTTTTGAAAAATCATATCTTCATAAAACAATAAATGTAAGAATATATAAATTATTTGACAATAAATGTAAAACTTCATAAGTCCCCAAATAATATATTTGAAAAATCATATATTTATAAAACAACAAATGAAAGAATATATAAATTCATTGACAACAAATGTAAACCTTAATAATTTCATAAACAATATTTTTGAAAAATCATACATTCATAAAACAATAAATGTAAGAATATATAAATTCATTGACAACAAATGTAAAACTTCATAAGTTCATAAACAATATTTTTGAAAAATCATACATTCATAAAACAATAAATGTAAGAATTCATAAATTCATTGACAACGAATGTAAAACTTCATAAGTCCCTAAACAATATATTTGAAAAATCATATATTTATAAAACAACAAATGTAAAAATTTAAAAATTCGCAAACCATCAATGTAAAATTTCACAAATTCCTAAACTACAAATATAAAAATTCACGAATTCCCAAACAACAAACATAAAAATTCTTAAATTTAGACTGTGAAAATCTACGAATTTATAAATATAGAAGTTGTAATACAAAAGCAAGAATTCTAACAAAACTTGAGAACAGACATGCAGCGTAACTAATAAACGAAGTCGATTAAAAAATAGAAAAATCCGAAAAGTATAAAACAGAGGAACTCGTGAATCGTATCAGGCGAAAGTATCCTGAACCCGACGACATTTATATGGGCGAAGACGTGTATCCAGCACTCGGGCACATACTGAAATACCATCGTCTGGCTGCGAACGTCCCGTCATAGGGACGGACATCGCGTTCCACGGCATCAGATGGGGGCTAAGGACTAATTTCATTCCACATTCCACCACGTTAGGTATGACGAGGTAGAGGAACGGGCCGTAGGATCAGAGACGCAGACGGAAGTGGTGGAGAGAGAGCTGGAATAACGGTGAGGGGGTTGGTTTGAGTTAAACCGTCCATCGGCCGCATTCTCTGATCCTCGTCAGAGAGACGACCATATTGCGTCCCTCTCTCCGTCGTTTCTGACCTCTCGTACAGGTTGATGCAATATTGATTTCACGTTGTGGGTTTATGAATAAAATAAGCGGTTTATCTGACGTTGGTACAGGCCAGTGGACGGCGTGCAGAAAACCGAAGGTGGAAAAGGGGTGCATGGTCCCTGGAGATCACGCGAAGTGGCGTTACCCATGGCGAGCAGATAGCCAATGCGCACACACGTGTACACCCTTTATGTCTGCTCACTGCTACACGTGTACGAATGCACGGATAAATCCACTTGGATGTGCGAACCGTTTTCTTGTGTGGGGCATGCAACACAGTTGCGTGACAGAGCATTTTGCGGCGGACACGACACATTCTGCGCACGTTTCCTGCCGGAGGTCTCTATCTCTTTTTCGTGCGATCAAGCATCGACTTCGACTACTATTACCACGCCTTTCTTTCGGCTGCTGTTTCGAAACTGTTCGCGATTTGTTTGCCTACCCTTGCGACTGTTTCCTTTACCTTCGATTTAGAATGAATAGATTGTTACTTGCTTGTATGGTCTTTATAGTCTAGAGTTAATATAATGTCCGTATAACTACAATATTAATCGATGACTAATCATTTAGTCAACCATGTTAGACTTCGTATGTTGTCAGTGTTTATTAACCCTTTGCGAGAGGTGACTCACAGTCACCATTATATTTGTAGGAATAGTATTTGTAGAACTATCATTTTATTTATTTAAGAGCACACAATAACAATTATAAACAAGAACACAAGAACACAATGGAACACAATATCGTATTGAACTTTAAACGTAAAACTAATTCGTAATTCGCGGCGTTTATGATACGTCTTGACCGTTCCGTTTCCGTTTCTAAACTCACTCCACAACACTTTTTTCTAAACGCTAGCAAATACTTCCGCTTTACATTTCACACTGTTCCTTTCATAAATCGTCATTCACACTTGCAGTCATACATACAATTTCACAACGATTATCAAACTATACAAACATTTAACAACTAAACAAACATAAAATACAATTCACTCCTACATATTTAATACAATAATTTTAAATAAGCATTTTTTAACTGATTCTATAACATGACACGTGTGATGTATAAACATAGTGAAACAAATAGTGGAAATTATTAGTAAAGAAATAATAACCTCAAGAAAATTTATTTAACTTTTTAACTAAGTTTTAAAGTTGCTGTTTGTAAACAGTCAAATTACCTTCGAGTGCAAAGGGTTAACTGACCTGACATTTTATACCAGATGCTAGATTCTTGTATGTTTGATTAACTCTAAACTTCAAATGGCTGAAGGCGCCATTTTGTGAACGTTCGTATTATGAATTCATATTAGACTTCATAAGTTGTGAAATTAGTTAATGCTTTCTATTGGCTGCTACTGGCAATAAGCCATTTTATATTAAAAGTACAAGTGAAGTTTTAATGGCAGCCATTTTTGTTCAACACCAAACTTTGAACTGATGAAATTTTATGAGACTTTATAAAATCAGTAATTGTTTGCTATAGCTATTTCACATCAAAAGCACTTACAAAGTATTTATTATTAAATTTTATAATTTATAATTAAATTTGAAACTTGCTACCACTGTCACCTCACAATATATTCACATCATCAAATCAAATTAAACCTTCATCTCGCTTCATCAAAAATTAAAATTTGACCAAAAGTCACAATAGAGTCAAAAATTAATCAACTTCTAATTAATTTAATAGCAGAACCTTGTACAGCCCCTTAAATATAAGTATCTTCAACAGGAAAAACATTTTTACGCCAGACGTTATAGTTTCAAACGCCAGATACGTGACGCAGGCAGAGTTCCTCCCATAAATATATAATTACGGTTTTCAATATTTGAAAAGCAACCCTTAGACTTCTCCCACTACGTCGGTGATCCTGGCGGCTCGCAGGTCATCGTTTCCTTCGAGAAACTGCCACTTGGAAAGTACTCCCCAGGGTGAACCCTTACTTCTGGCCGGCGTATACCTTACAGAATCCAGGGTGGTAAACCCACTCCTCTGTCTGGGGTCGATTCTTTCTCATTTCGGGCACCCAGGGACCCGTGCCGGTAGCACGTTACGCCATCAATGCTGCCACACTTTGCACTGGCGTAGAAACACGCGTTTGTTATCCCGGAAATTTAATGAGATTGCGGTCAGAGAATTTAATTCTTTCGAATGGGATTTTATGAGTTGTGAGGGAGATGTTATTGGTGTTGGTGTTATGGGAAGTTTAGTGGAAATTGATGGGAGGGTTGAAATATTTTGAATTATTTGAGTGGCAAATTCTCGAATGCGTAATTAGTACATCTTTAAATTTTTATTTAACTAATTTCAAAATTTCAAGATTTCTACCACCCCAATTTCCAAATTTCCAAATTACTACTGCCCCAATTCCTAAATTTCCAAATTTCTATCTCCCCAATTTCAACGCCCCCAATTTCCAAATTTTCAAATTTCCATCGCCCCTAATTTCCACGCCTCCAATTTCCAAA